AAAAAATTTATTTATAAATAACAAACTTATTTTTCATGAAGCAGCTTAGTATTTTATATCATTAGAAAGTCATTTTAGTCATATTTTATACATTAAAAAATAAATTAACAAAGTGTTTTCATTTTTTCTTGGTGAAGAGTTAAACTTGGTGCTAGAAAACTATTGAAATAACAGTTGAAAAATATCTTAGCTTTCTTTTTTAAAAGCAAACAATGAGAATCCGCTTACATTTTAAAAATATGAATATAATAAAGAACTTTCAAATGGTATAAGAATTTAAAAAATCGATCCACAAATAAAAAAGTTATTAATTAGAATTTAAAAATTCTGCTGCTATATAATGCATATAAATATTGGTTCTTCTCGCCAACCGGTAAATCTGCTAAATTCTTGTAGCAGGTGCTTGTGATGTCATCGTACAATAGGTCTATACTGTGTCCAACTGTCGGTGTGATGTAAAACCCAATCAAACAATTTTTAGAAAATGTACCCGAAAAGTTAATGTGAAATGTACCCAAAAAATTTTACTTATATTGGTACATGTAGTCCCCCTTTAAAAAGGCCATTGGTTAGCCTTTTATTGATTTTGAAATTTTGAGAGACTTGCCCTCTGACATTATTTATAGCTAAATCTCTTGTTATATGTTAAACATTATTATATAGACATAGTTTAAGTTAACTGTTGCAGAAATCAGTTGTTTTGTCATAAATATTATATCCCCTTGTGGCTGAGGGGTTTCCTTCAAAGGTTGAGGCATCAGTATTGCTGCCACTTCTCTGAGTATTCATAAGAGGAGACATAATGGATTCAAATTACTAGAGAATATGCTTCAGGTAAGGTTATTTTGACCCCTAGTGTTGCTTGAATTTGTAACACCTGGGGTTAGCCAAAATCATCTTTTCTGTTTTGGCGCCATATGACCGTGCCATGAAACCAAACAAACAAACAGTCATATATATACTGTTGTTTTATTTATATATTACATGTAGCCTAAAGCCTAAAGAAGAAAAGAAAGAGATTATCATTCCATTAATCAAGACAAATAACTGGAAAACTGAACATGCCAAAAAAGCAAAGACTGATAAGCCCCCTACACTTTCAGATGGAAATGGAGTGGATGCAGAGGCAATCAAGGAAATTATGCAAGGTAGAGTAATTGTATATACTGATTTGTTGTACTAAGGCTAATTTTGTAAATTTATTAATGTGTGATGTGTTCACATAATTCGTTTTTTATTTATTTATTTATTTTTTTGACAAATTGAATTACAAAGTTATTTTGTTATGCATTATGTATTGTGATAAGAAATATATTATACTGTGTAGTACTAGTTTACAATGAAATTGTTTTAGTTACTAGTCTGCTCTGCTTGGAAATAAAATTTAAGCCTAATTTCTATGACTGAACAGGTTTAACAGAAAAAAATTAAACAATTGATTTTCACTTTAACATTATACATTAGACTCATTAGTATTAGATACATATTAAATGTTTATAGTATTTGCATTAGATATATAATTTGAGCATACAGATGTGTATGTACATGCACTTATGTGTCATGCATGGAACAGTTTTATTTATTTAATATTTTGACTATCCTGATTTTAGATACAGCTAAACAGCTAGACACCTGGCAGACTCGAGGCGTTGTTGATCCAAATATTGAGATTCCATTGTTAATGCAGAATCAGGTGCCAGAAGGGTTTGAAACTGATGAACACCTTGATGTTTCATTGAGACCTGATGGGGTTTGTACATTTTAAAGTATTGAACATACATTGTATAATGTCATGTTTTAATATCTGTAAGGATTACTGTGTGTCACAGGGAAAAAGAAATATGCAGCCTGAAATGGACTTGAACCTGGGACTGTTATAAATATATCAACAACTTTATTGACTGAAGATCCCAGCCATTTACTCTTTTTCTTTCTAATAATTGAACAGTTCTTTACCATGACATAATTACTGTATTGAATTTGTCCTCAAATTTCTAATGGGTACAGAGAACTATGTGAATTAACCCATGTTGTATACAATCATGATCCCTTGCTGTGCTACAAATGTCACAAGGTGAGAAAAATGTGCAGTCTGACCTGCGAACTCGAACCCTCGACTCTCATTATACAGTTCTGCAGCATGACAGACTGATCTATCAGAAGACTTACATATTTTCTGTTTCTCTTTGTTGCCAACTTTGTTAATGTCCAATATTTTAAAATAACAATTTACTTTTACATTGTAAATGTGAGTTTTAATGTTTTGATAAACCAAATTATATATTATATAAAATAATTTTAGCCAGAAGACACTGATTATGATGAAGTACCTATAGAAGCGTTTGGTATGGCAATGTTGAAGGGAATGGGCTGGAAACCTGGCACAGGTATTGGGAAAAATAACAAGTAGGTGCTAAATATACCATCCTTATTATATACAATGTACAGTCTACTCCACTTATAACAAGATTGATTTTAACAGAGTAGACTGTACATGGTTTTGGGTAGATAAAAGATATTAATCTTGAATGTTTTATTGTGCATTATTATAGAATAATTCAAGGTTAAGTCATAATACACAATTATAACATAATTACAAAATTGATATGCATTCCAATTATAACATGCTGATAGAAATAGATTCTGTTAGGGTAAGTTGAACTGCATTGAATGAAGAAATTTTCATGGCATTATTTGATTTATTGGTGTCACACCTGAATTCATATAGCATATTAACATTATCTTCCTTATTTTATTAATTTATTGGCATTGATAATCCACTAAAGGACTCGGTCTGAAGAAAAACTTGGAATTCTAGGAGATGGGAGACTGTATGATTTTAAAGAATTGTGTATGGGGAGACTTCTATAAACAGCCCCTGCTATCATGTGGAAAAATAGCCCTGAAATATCACAAAATTTATTCATATAAACATGCACATGAATTTTCATGACAACTTTTCACTTACTTGTTGGGGTAGAGTGGTGTAGCTATAGGGCAATGATCCCCTAATTCTAGGTCATGGGTTCACATCCTACTTGTGGTTTGATTCTTCTTCCACAAGCCATACAGTTGTGTTTACTGGTTATGACACCCAGGAAGTAATCAGCTGGCATGACTTAAACATCATCATCCAGTCTTAATGGAAAATCAATGGTTGGATTGTAACATGTAGATGTACTTGATTAAAGATCGTACTGAATTGATGACTTTGATTATGTTTAAAACAATATACTGTGTAACCTTAGAAATAAGCATATATTAGAAAATCTTTTATGCACTTTTACTTTGATATGTGCTGAGACAGGTCCTATTCTTAGACAGGCCACGGAATATGCGCCTAATTTTTACATGGGCTTATCGATTTTGGTGTCAAAACTGAGAGTAACAAAAGGGATATGCACTTATTTTCAGGCACTTATAATCCATTAGGAATATATTCGAGCTTATATTTGGAAACAATATTTTGGTAAGGAAAATATATGTTTATTTTCCATGTGCTCCTATATTCAAACATAAGCTTATTTTCAAGGTTCTACAATATAAGTTATATATAAAAAAATTAGCTAAAAAAGTATTTTGTAAATTTTTTTGAACCTCATTTAGAGATGTTGCCCCAGTGGATGCTGTTCTCCGTCCTAAAGGAATGGGCCTTGGTGCTGATAGAAAGCAGGCTCAGACTTTAAATAGTACTAAACAGGGAGGTAACTCAAAGAAAAATGAGGATTCAGGGGAGCTTACTATGAAGAAAGGTGCTCATTGTTTGATACAAAATGGACCACATAAAGATCTTTATGCAGTTGTAAGTACAAAGAAAATCAAAAAATTAAAAAATTTTATTACACTGTTGGTTTATTTCCCATCATGTATTTATTATGCATGTTAAGTAACCAAATGGAATAATATTATTAGCTTTTTGGATTTTACAAATTACTTTGTGTTTTATAAATTCATAGAACGTATGTTATTTATCGCATGACCGCCACAACTTTCCTTTGAAGATCGGCGTTCTCTAAATTTCGGTATTGGAAAACTTTGGGGGTGCTCTAAATGAGGTATCAGTACGCTTTGGGGTGCTCTAAATGAGGTATCACTACACTTTCTCGCGCATGCCCAGATTATTATTTTATTTCAAATCATAAAGTGAGTATATACCCAAAAAAGAGCATAACAAAACATTACACAGTTGACAGAACTTTTTTTTTTTTTTTAAATATTTACATATTGTCTCGATCTTTTTTTCAAAACTTGAAAATGCAGTTATTATAAAGATGTTGACTCAAGTGGAAAGTAATTGCCATTTTCTGCATCCTGACCTCGAGGACAAACTAGTCTGAAACAATGATCAAATTATTCATTTTTCAGTAAAGCACTACACGTATTCTAGCGTAATTATTAATAAATGGAAGTAGTGTTAAGAAAAAAAACACTACATTGTCGTTAGTTTTAAAAAATACGCGTACAAGTTATACCTCTAAAATATACACCGGGACTCTTATTGACAATATTTCCTAGATTATATTTTGAAAATGAGCTGGAAAGATGATTAATAATTGGCATTCAGAAAAATGCATCAACTTACCTCGTCCAATGGTTATTTCATTCCAGTTCCTTCAACGGCCTCTAATGGGTATATTTCTGCGGGCATTTATTAAAATATTTATATGTTTAAATAAAGCAAATATTACGAGAGTGCGTAAATCTCCAAGAAAAAAGTCGTGATGGTCATGCGATAAAACAGTTACAGAATAAATACTCGGACTTCACCGGCTGGTATCAGCGCATGGGGCGACAAAAGGGTCAATCATGGAAATTAATCTCGACGTTCCGTCTCGATTAATTTCCTATGATTGACCCTTGTTGTCGCCCCATGCGCTGATACCAGCCGGTAAAGTCCGAGTATATATTCTATAACTATTACAAGTTATACCTCATTAAAAGTCACTCATTGGCCAATTTCTGAACAACCTTTTGCTGCTGATGCTTTTTGGCAATTAGTACATTTATAGTGACTAAGTATTTTGTATTGAAGTTAAAATACTACTTTTATTTTCATTTTGTATGTCCAATAATTTCACAATCATTGCTACCGTCATCAGGTATGCTCTAAAATCATTTTTAAATATTATATAACTAATTGTTTTTCCCTTTCCTTGTAAGGAAAATTTTACTTTTTGTTTTTGAGGGATAATGACATAATGTTAATTTAATTGTACTCTCGACTTCATATGAACAAGAATCTAGACACTATTATTACCGCCAGATTTGGAGAGCAAAACATATTTACAATTAAATACATTGTCATGTCAACTCTAAATGCCTGTAAATAAACAACAAACATTTAATAAAGTTATATGGTCAGTTGTGTATTATAATAAAATCATAACACACATTGTATTTGTGTGTTATATCAAATGATGATTGAATGTTTGTAATTATATATAAACAGATAGGACTAAATGATTGAATGTTTGTATTTATATATAAACAGATAGAAGAACTAGATAATTGAATGTTTGTATTTATATATTTTTGTTTGTTTGTTTTGGGTTTTACGTCACATCGACACAGTATAGGTCATATCGCGACGTTCCAGCTTTACTGGTGGAGGAAGACCTCAGGTGCCCCTCCGTGCATTATTTCAGGCACGAACGGGCACCTGAGTAGAACCACCGACGTTCCGTAAGCTAGCTGGATAGCTTCCTCACATGAAAGAATCCAAAGTCCCTGTCGGGATTCGAACCCACAGCGGTGAGGGGCAAGTGATTTGAAGTCAACGACCTTAACCACTCGGCCACGGACGCCCCGTATTTATATATAAACAGATAGAAGGACTAAATGATTGAATGTTTTTATTTATATATAAACAGATAGAAGGACTAGACGAGGACAATGCCAGGTTAATGTTGAAGTTAACAGTTAGTGGTAAACTTGTTACTGTTAGTCAATACAATACAAAACTTGTTACCCAGGAAGAATACAACAAATACTCCAAATATATCAGTAAGTAAAAAAAACTATTAAAATTTAGTAATTGTAAATGGTACAGTAAGGCATTTGTAAAAATACAAACATCTAAATACAGTCCAACCCTGGTTATTCGACAACCCTTTATTTGAATACCCGGCATTATCCGAAGTAGATCGGCGGTCCCAATTTTTATCTCTATATAATTCAATATAAATACGTACGAAGGTATTATTCAAAATGCATTATCCCAATACCTCCTATTTTTCAAAGTAAAAATTCGGTCCCAAATATACAATTATGACAATTTCACACCTATTATTCGAAGTCAGACTAACTGCCGCTGATACTGATATCCGTGTATTTATACAGAAGTTATAATTTAAATTCTGATAATAATGTTTTCTTACGTTTATACACAGACAAAGGTGCAGCAGATAGGTATAAAGAAAAAGAACAAATTAGAAAGGAAAAGAAATACAGAGACTCGGATAGAGAGACTGAATCACACAGAGAAAACAAACACAGAAAGGAAGAAGACCGGTTATCAGCAGATGATGATGTATATAAAGGTCAGCATGATAGAAAGAAGGATAAAAATAGAGATAAAGACAGATCAAACAAGAAAAGAAAACATGATGATCTCAGGTATATATTTGTATTAGAAATAATTATTTTGTCATAAAAATGATAATGTATATTTTTGAAATAAAAAGTTCACTTTCAGCTGACATATTGACCAGCTTATACAATCATGACAGATAATGATAGCATACAGGTCCAGGAAACTTGACCAATACTGTAACCTGATTATTTTTAACATTTTTATACCAGAATATTTAAGACATGGAAAGTGCAGACCCAAATATGAATTAAGACATGATTATGACTGTAATTCAGCGGATTAATGATAAAGTTAGGACAGTGATAAAGTTAGGACAGCATATCTAATTGTCTAGTAGATTGATGTTGCTTACTATATGTATGATTACTTTCAACAAAAAGTTCAGTTAAAATTTCTTCATAGTTTAGTAAAGTTTGTCTCTGCCCTTTACATTCGTTGAATTATGTTTGTTCAAGAATTTATTTTTTTGGTTATTTTTGCATGTGTAATGCTCAACTGTTATAATTTATTAACTGAAATAAAATAATTCATCTAGAGAAAAATCTTGTTATTGAATTTGATTGAAATAAGTGAATAAAGGCATTACTATCTTACTTACTTACTAATTTTGTGCAAGAAGTACAAGTTCTATATAAATGTTGTTTTGTTTTTCTTCAGATCACATGATAAATATACCTCATCTTCTTCATATACAAATGGAGGCAGTAAATCTCAATCTTCTATCTGGGTTCGTCCAAAGTTGCGGGTACGACTTGTTGATGAACAATACAAGAAAGGAAAATATTATAATAACAAGGTACTTTATAGTGAATCATTAACAAGGAATTTATACATGATTTTATCTATATTTTAAAAAAGGGAGCATATGTATATTTTATTGTAGATAGGTTTGTACATGACCAGGTGATCAACATTTGTAGCTGACATTCACTTGCCTCTCATATTTGTTGGTTTGAATCTCAACTAGGATGTGGAATTCTCTAAACTTGAAAAAATTATCAAACTAGCTTATTTATATTTGATAGTTTAACTCACATGCTCGCTACTGTAACATTATAATATTGATTGACAATTGTTATTTTAAGGTTACTTATAGCTTCTAAATGATTTTATCTAGAGGTAATCTGATATTAACATACAGCAGGAAAAATAGCAGTTCCAAAATGACATTTTGTTGTATTATTATTATAAATATTTATTTTATATTTTATTGTTTATCAGGTTGTAATAGTTGATGTATCGGACAGGGATCATTGTATGTGTAAAACAGATGATGGGAAAATTTTAGAAGGTAAACTTTATACTGCCATGTCTCAATCTTTGTTTAATTTCTTATTAAAATTTATAGTTTGTTAGCAGTATTGCAATATTGATTACTCATGTAGATAAATGTATATAGATAAGCTGTGTCTCAGTAACCTATGTGTCAATATAAACATACATGACATTATAACATGACATTATATAAATATCACATCCTACTGAGGGGGACAAGTTCACCCAAAACTAATGATGTAATGCACCATCAATGGGATATGATATTTATATACCTAGTCAATATACAAGGTAGAGGTCTCAAACTAATAGCTTAAACCAGGCACCTATTGTGAGCATGAGGACTGTTTCATAATGTCAGTAGATAGATAAGTAGTGTAAACATGTGACATAACAGATCTCTGATGTTACCATGTGACATTATATAACTCTGATGTTACCATGTGACATTATAGAACTCCAATGTTACCATGTGACATTACAGATCTCTGATGTTACCATGTGACATTATAGAACTCCGATGTTACCATGTGACATTATAGAACTCCAATGTTACCATGTGACATTACAGATCTCTGATGTTACCATGTGACATTACAGATCTCTGATGTTACCATGTGACATTACAGATCTCTGATGTTACCATGTGACATTATAGAACTCCAATGTTACCATGTGACATTATAGATCTCTGATGTTACCATGTGACATTATAGTTCTCTAATGTTACCATGTGACATTATAGATCTCTGATGTTACCATGTGACATTATAGATCTCTGATGTTACCATGTGACATTATAGAACTCCAATATTACCATGTGACATAACAGATCTCTGATGTTACCATGTGACATTATAGAACTCCAATATTACCATGTGACATTATATAGAACTCCAATGTTACCATGTGACATTATAGAACTCCAATGTTACCATGTGACATTATAGAACTCCAATGTTACCATGTGACATTATAGATCTCCGATGTTACCATGTGACATTACAGATCTCTGATGTTACCATGTGACATTACAGATCTCTGATGTTACCATGTGACATAACTGATCTCCGATGTTACCATGTGACATTATAGATCTCTGATGTTACCATGTGACATTACAGATCTCCGATGTTACCATGTGACATAACAGATCTCTGATGTTACCATGTGACATTATAGAACTCCAATGTAAACATGTGACATTATAAAACTCCAATGTTACCATGTGACATTATAGAACTCCAATGTTACCATGTGACATTATAGAACTCCAATATTACCATGTGACATTATAGAACTCCAATGTTACCATTTGACATTATAGAACTCTGATGTTACCATGTGACATTATAGATCTCCAATGTTACCATGTGACATTATAGAACTCCAATGTTACCATGTGACATTATAGATCTCCAATGTTACCATGTGACATTATAGAACTCCAATATTACCATGTGACATAACAGATCTCTGATGTTACCATGTGACATTATAGAACTCCAATATTACCATGTGACATTATAGAACTCCAATGTTACCATGTGACATTATAGAACTCCAATGTTACCATGTGACATTATAGAACTCCAATGTTACCATGTGACATTATAGATCTCCGATGTTACCATGTGACATTACAGATCTCTGATGTTACCATGTGACATTACAGATCTCTGATGTTACCATGTGACATAACTGATCTCCGATGTTACCATGTGACATTATAGATCTCCGATGTTACCATGTGACATAACAGATCTCTGATGTTACCATGTGACATTATAGAACTCCAATGTAAACATGTGACATTATAAAACTCCAATGTTACCATGTGACATTATAGAACTCCAATGTTACCATGTGACATTATAGAACTCCAATATTACCATGTGACATTATAGAACTCCAATGTTACCATTTGACATTATAGAACTCTGATGTTACCATGTGACATTATAGATCTCCAATGTTACCATGTGACATTATAGAACTCCGATGTTACCATGTGATATTATAGAACTCCGATGTTACCATGTGACATTATAGAACTCCGATGTTACCATGTGACATTATAGATCTCCGATGTTATCATGTGACGTAACAGATCTCCAATGTTACCATGTGACGTTACAGATCTTTGATGTTACCATGTGACATTATAGAACTCCAATGTTACCATGTGACATTACAGATCTTTGATGTTACCCCATGTGACATAACAGATCTCTGATGTTACCATGTGACATTACAGATCTCTGATGTTACCATGTGACATTATAGTTCTCCAATGTTACCATGTGACATTATAGATCTCTGATGTTACCATGTGACATTATAGTTCTCTGATGTTACCATGTGACATTACAGATCTCTGATGTTACCATGTGACATTATAGTTCTCTGATGTTACCATGTGACATTATAGTTCTCTGATGTTACCATGTGACATTACAGATCTCTGATGTTACCATGTGACATAACAGATCTCTGATGTTACCATGTGACATTACAGATCTCTGATGTTACCATGTGACATTATAGAACTCCAATATTACCATGTGACATTACAGATCTCTGATGTTACCATGTGACATTATAGAACTCCAATGTTACCATGTGACATTACAGATCTCTGATGTTACCATGTGACATTACAGATCTCTGATGTAAACATGTGACATTACAGATCTCTGATGTTACCATGTGACATAACAGATCTCTGATGTTACCATGTGACATTACAGATCTCTGATGTTACCATGTGACATTATAGATCTCTGATGTTACCATGTGACATTACAGATCTCTGATGTTACCATGTGACATTATAGTTCTCTGATGTTACCATGTGACATTACAGATCTCTGATGTTACCATGTGACATTATAGAACTCCAATATTACCATGTGACATTACAGATCTCTGATGTTACCATGTGACATTATAGAACTCCAATATTACCATGTGACATTACAGATCTCCGATGTTACCATCATTTATTATAAATTGATGGAAATTTTGGCAGACAAAAAAATTCAGGTAATTGGGAAGTATTTTAGGAGCACAACAAGTTAAAATGGTAAAAAATACACAAAAAAAAGAAAGTTCTGAATGCAAGTGGCATATTTTTAACATGTGATGTATCATTAAAAACTCGCTTTTTTAAAATATCCTACTTTGAAATGTTAGATTTCTAAACTTAAAGTATTCAAAGTTAGATAATTTGTTGTATTGTGTTTACTTTCAGATGTATCACAGTCTATGTTAGAAACTATGGTGCCAAAATCTGATTCCTCTTACATATCTATTGTGTCAGGAAAACACAAAGGACAGGTAAATAAAATGATACATTAATATATGAAAAATTTACTCTTGAATAATTTTCTGCCAGAAACTTATGTTTAGTTGGATATTTTTATAGCCATTCTTTTATAAGAGGTGCAACAACTCATGGAAGAATTATTATGCCCCCATTTCGAAGAAAAGGGGGTATATTGCTTTGCACTTGTCGGTCCGTCGGTCTGTCGGTCCGTCGGTCCGTCGGTCCGTAGACCAAATGGTTTCCGAGTGATAACTAAAGAACCCTTAGGCCTAGGAACTTCAAACTTGGTATGGTGATTGGTCATGACCAGTAGATGGCCCCTATTGATTTTGGGGTCAAGGGGTCAAAGGTCAAGGTCACATTGACCTTGAAAGCATAAACGGTTTCCGATCAATAACTAAAGAACCTTAAGGCCTAGGAACTTCAAACTTTGTATGGTGATTGGTCATGATCAGTAGATGACCCCTATTGATTTTGGGGTCAAGGGGTCAAAGGTCAAGGTCACATTGACCTTGAAAGTAAAAACGGTTTCCGATCAATAACTAAAGAACCTTAAGGCCTAGGAACTTCAAACTTGGTATGGTGATTGGTCATGACCAGTAGATGACCCCTATTGATTTTGGGGTCAAGGGGTCAAAGGTCAAGGTCACATTGACCTTTTAAGCAAAAACGGTTTCCGATCAATAACTAAAGAACCTTAAGGCCTAGGAACTTCAAACTTGGTATGGTGATTGGTCATGATCAGTAGATGACCCCTATTTATTTTGGGGTAAGGGGTCAAAGGTCAAGGTCACATTGACCTTGTAGGTAAAAACGGTTTCCAATCAATAACTAAAGAACCTTAAGGCCTAGGAACTTCAAACTTGGTATGGTGATTGGTTATGACCAATCAGATGACCCCTATTGATTTTGGGGTTAAGGGGTCAAATGTCAAGGTCACATTGACCTTGTAGGTAAAAACGGTTTCCGATCAATAATGAAAGAACCCTTAGGCCTAGGGACTTCAAACTTGAGATGGTGATTGGTCATGATCAGTAGATGACCCCTATTGATTTTGGGGTCAAGGGGTCAAAGGTCAAGGTCACATTGACCTCTTAGGTAAAAACGGTTTCCGATCAATAACTAAAGAACCCTAAGGCCTAGGAACTTCAAACTTGGTATGGTGATTGGTCATGACCAGCAGATGACCTATTGATTTTGGGGTCAAGGGGTCAAAGGTCAAGGTCACATTGACCTTGTAGGTAAAAACGGTTTCCGATCAATTTACTAAAAACGCTTAGGCCTAGGAACTTCAACCTTTGTGTGATGATTGGTCATGACCAGCAGATGACCCCTATTGAGTTTTAGGTGAAGGGGTCAAAGGTCAAGGTCACATTGACCTTGTAAGTAAAAACGGTTTCTGATCAATAACTCAAGAACACTTAGGCCTAGGAACTTCAAACTTGGTATGGTGATTTGTCATGACCAGCAGATTACTCATATTGATTTTGGGATTAAGGGGTCAAAGGTCAAGGTCACAATGACCTTGTAAGTAAAAACGGTTTCTGATCAATAACTAAAGAACGTTCGTCCTAGGAACTTCAAACTTGGCATGTTGATTGGTCATGACCAGCAGATGACCCCTATTGATTTTGGGGTCAAAGGTCAAGGTCACATTGACCTTGTATGTTAAAACGGTTTCCGATCAATAATAAGAGAACCCTTAGGCCTAGGAACTTCAACCTAGGCATGGTGATTGGTCATGACCAGCAGATGACCCCTATTGATTTTGGGGTCAAAGGTCAAGGTCACATTGACCTTGTAGGTAAAAACGGTTTCTGATCAATTTACTAAAAACGCCTAGGCCTAGGAACTTCAAACTTTGTATGATGATTGGTCGTGACCAGCAGATGACCCCTATTGAGTTTTGGGTCAAGGGGTCAAAGTCATGACCAGTAGATACTTTATAACCCTTATTAATTGTTTGATCACTGGGTCAGAAGTCATGCATTATAACCTTATCACATGACTAATTGGCTGCTGATAGGGGGCATACATGTTTTACAAACATATCTTGTTGTATGCAGGTGCTTAACAGGTTTGTAAAATCAATGTGTTTGGTTTTTTTAGCTCACCTGTCACAAAGTGACAGGGTGAGCTTTTGTGATCGCTTTTCGTCCGGCGTCCGTCCGTCCGTCCGTCGTCCGTCGTCCGTCCGTAAACTTTTACTTTAAATGACATCTCCTCATAAACCACTAAGCCAATTTCATCCAAACTTCACAGGAATGTTCCTTTGGTGGTCACCTTTAAAAATTGTTCAAAGAATTTAATTCCATGCAGAACTCTGGTTGCCATGGCAACTGAAGGAAAAAACTTTAAATATCTTCTTTTAAAAAACCATAAGAGCTAGAGCTTAGATATTTGGCATGAAACATCTTCTAGTGAGTGTCTACCAAGTTTGTTCAAATAAAAGCCCTGGGGTCAAAATTGGCCCCGCCCCGGGGGGTCATTGATTTTCCCTATATGCATATAGTAAAAACTTAAAAAATCTTCTTTGAAAGAACCCAAAGAGCTAGAGCTAAGATATTTAGCATGAAATATGTTCTAATGGGTGTCTACCAAGTTTGTTCAAATAAAAGCCCTGGGGTAAAAATTGGCCCCGCCCCGGGGGGTCATTGATTTTCCCTATATGCATATAGTAAAAACTTAAAAAATCTTCTTTTAAAGAACCCAAAGAGCTAGAGCTAAGATATTAAGCATGAAACATGTTCTAATGGGTGTCTACCAAGTTTGTTCAAATAAAAGCCCTGGGGTCAAAATTAGCCCGGCCCCGGGGGGTCATTGATTTTCCCTATATGCATATAGTAAAAACTTAAAAAATCTTCTTTTAAAGAACTGAAAGAGCTATGGCTAAGATATTGAGCATCAAACATGTTCTAATAGGTGTCTACCAAGTTTGTTCAAATAAAAGCCCTGGGGTCAAAATTGGCCCCGCCCCAGGGGGTCATTGATTTTCCCTATATGCATATAGTAAAAACTTACAAAATCTTCTTTTAAAGAACCAAAACAGTTAGAGCTAAGATATTTAGCATAAAACATGTTCTAATAAGTGTCTACCAAGTTTGTTCAAATAAAAGCCCTGGGGTCAAAATTGGCCCCGCCCCGGGGGGTCATTGATTTTCCCTATATGCATATAGTAAAAACTTAAAAAATCTTCTTTTAAAGAACTCAGAGAGCTATGGCTAAGATATTGAGCATCAAACATGTTCTAATAGGTGTCTACCAAGTTTGTTCAAATGAAAGCTCTGGGGTCAAAATTGGCACCTCCCTGGGGGTCATTGATTTTCCTTATATGTTTATAGCAAAAACTTAAAAAATCTTCTTTGAAAAAACCCAAATAGCTAGAGTTAAGATATTAAGCATGAAACATCTTTTAGTGAGTGTCTACAAAGTTTGTTCAAATAAAAGACCTGGGGTCAAAATTGGCCCCGCCTGGGGGTCATTGATTTTCTTTATATGTGTATAGCAAAAACTTAAAATCTTCTTTGAAAAAACCCAAATAGCTAGAGTTTAGATATTAAGCATGAAACATCTTCTAGTAAGTGTCTACAAAGTTCGTTCAAATAATAGCCCTGGCCCGGCCCCAGGGGTGTCATTGTTTTTAACTATATGTGTATAGTAAAAACTTAAAAAAAATCTTCTTTTAAAAAGCCCAATGAGCTAGAGCTTAGATGTTTAGCATGAAACATCTTCTTATGGATGTCTACCAAGTTTGTGCAAATAAAAGCCCTTGGGTTAAATTGGCCCTGCAACGTTGGGGGGGTGGGGGTTGGGGGGCCTATATACAGGTGAGCGACCTCAGGGCCATCATGGCCCTCTTGTTAACATTCACAGGAATAGTTTCTTTTTTACTTAACAGTATAACTTTAATTTGGTCCTAAGTTTAGAAATATTGTTGCTATAACAACAAATAGGACTTGAAATTTTCAAGAACTGGATGCTGTGATAATTAAAAATGCACTCTGAAGATTTTCATGTCACTTGAAATATTAAAACATCATGATATGGAGAGGATGCATGTTCTGAAATAATTATGGTTGTTATGGAAACAGATATCCTTAAAATATTGCAAGAAGTTAAAAAAATATCTATTTTAAAGATACTACATGTTTTGAGACCCAAAAGACCAGTTCACATTTCATGGCCCATAGCTGTCAGAGCTGATTGTACAAAGTTATCCTACAATTTTTATATGCCCAAAAGGGCATATTATGTTATACCCCCTGGCGTCTGTCTGTCTGTCCGTCCGTCCGTTAGCAATTTGGTTTCCGGAGCATAACTTAAGTTCCATTTAGCCCACAATGTTCAAACTTCATAGGATGATTGTCCATATTGGGTAGAAGACCCCTGTTGATTTTGGGGTCAAAAGGTCAAGGTCACTATTACCTTATAACTATAAAAAACAATTTCTGGAGCATAACTTAAGTTCCATTTGACCCACAATGTTCAAACTTCATAGGATGATTGTCCATATTGGGTAGAAGAACCCTATTGATTTTGGGGTCACAAGGTCAAAGGTCAAGGTCACTTTTACCTTAAAACTGAAAACAGTTTCCGGAGCATAACTTGAGTTCCATTCGACCCACAATGTTCAAACTTCATAGGATGATTGTCCATATTGGGTAGAAGACCCCTATTGATTTTGGGGTCAAAAGGTCAAGGTCACTATTGCCTTAAAACTAAGCATAACTTAAGTTCCATTTGGCCCACAATATTCAAACTTCATAGGATGATTGTCCATATTGGGCAAAAGACCCCTATTGATTTTGGGGTCACTAGGTTAAAGGTCAATGTCAAAATTACCTTAAAATCAAAAACAGCCCTGGCGTCCGTCTGTCTGTCTCTCCGTCCGTCCGTTAGCAATTTGGTTTCCGGAGCATAACTTAAGTTCCATTTCGCCCACAATGTTCAAACTTCATAGGATGATTGTCCATATTGGGTAGAAGACCCCTATTGATTTTGGGGTCAAAAGGTCAAAGGTCAAGGTCACTTTTACCTTAACCCTTTACCACATATATACGCGAAACAACGCACTTTCTACCTCCCCCCTTTTTTCTGGGCCTCAAATAGTGAAAAAATGTCCTATTTGGGCCCTAAACATAAGTTTTCGTTTGAGAAATGTTGCTAAAAAAATTGAGCACTTTTTCGGCGCCACCCCCCATCCAAAAGCAGGGGGTTGCCAGAAGGGGGATGTGCCCCCTTCTGTTAGGGGGGTTTGAAGGGGGGCGGAGTCCCCCTCATCGCCAAGAAAATTTTGGACTTGTGAGAGGCTAAAAATGACCCCAGGTCGACCATAATGTAACGTTTAACCAACGCTGAAAAGCCTTTGACTCTATCTCAATCCCTTGAGAAGTTGCAGCACTTTGAAATAAATTTTGATGGAAAAAATCGAGGCAAAATAGTGATTTTTGGCAATTTTGAGATGTCCCCTCGTTGCCATGGTAACAGAAAATTTAAGACTGAGCATGTCGTTACAAAGGCAATGGTCCAGTCAACATTTGTGCCAAGTTTGATTAGTATTGAAGCATTTTTCATAGTTTCATAGCAGTTTGAACTTGTAACAGGAGGCTTTTCAGTGAAAACGGCCATTTTTCACAATATGCTCATGGGGGAAAGGGTTAAAACCGAAAACAGTTTCCGGAGCATAACTTGAGTTCCATTCGACCCACAATATTCAAACTTCATAGGATAATTGTCCATATTGGGTAGAAGACCCCTTTTCATTTTGGGGTCAAAGGTCAAGGTCACTATTACCTTAAAACTGAAAACAGTTTCTGGAGCATAATTCAAGTTCCATATGACCCAAAATGTTCAAACTTCATAGGATGATTGTCCATATTGGGTAGAAGACCCCTATTGATTTTGGGGTAAAAAGGTCAAAGGTCAAAGTCACTATTACCTTAAAACTGAAAACAGTTTCCGGAGCATAACTTAAGTTCCATTTGGCCCGCAATGTTCAAACTTCATAGGCTGATTGTCCATATTGGGTAGAAGACCCCTATTGATTTTGGGGTTAGAAAGTCAAGGTCACTATATCCTTAAAACTGAAAACAGTTTCCAGAGCATAACTTTAGTTCCATTTGGCCCCCAATATTCAAACTTCATAGGATGATTGTCCATATTTGGCAAGAGACCCCTATTGATTTTGGGGTCACAAGGTAAAAGGTCAAGGTCACAATTACCTTAAAACCAAAAAAAGTATCCGGAGCATAATTAAAGTTCCATTTGGCCCACAATATTCAAACTTCTTAGGATGACTGTCCATATAAGGTAGAAGACCCCTATTGATTTTTGGGTCACAAGGTAAAAGGTTAAGGTCATTATTAATAACTTAAGTATTAATCAACTTACAGCTGTAAAATTCTATAGGATGAACATCTAATTCCCATGTCTTTTTCGGTAGAGGTTTATGACTTGACAATATCCTTACTTGTTGACTTTATATTGTTTTATAATAATCTTGTTATTTTTCTTATTATTTATAATACTTTATTTTTTTATCTCGTATATTTTCAGCTTGGGCATGTGTTAGAAAGGGACAAGAAAAAATGTCAAGCTTTAGTACAGTTATTGAGTGACCGGGACAAAGTTTTACAACTGGACTATGATTGTATATGTGAATATGTTGGTGACATAGATGAGGAGTTTGACTTTTAAAACATTATATTGATTATATAAGTGCTTCTGTTTGAAATGCAATGAAACAACATTAAAAATAAAATGATGATCAATTATTCTTTATCTTCAATACATTGTATTTCTTTATGAAAAGTGACCAGTATACCAAAATATAATAGATGTACAATATTTATTCTACATCTAATAAAAGATCATTGTGTTCACTATATGATATGTCAACATGTAACAAAATTTGCATGTACAGTTGTATTTTCTTTACAAATATCTTTTCAAACATAGAAACAAGAAAAAAATACTGGTATGAAATTTCAAATTACAGTAGAACTTCTATGAGTCGAACTTCGATTAGTCGATTTTCTCGATGTGTCGAAGAAAAATGAAAGTCCGGACTTTCCCCCCTATATATTCCTTATAAAAACCTATTTATGAGTCGAAATTTTATGTGTCGAATTTTTCGATGTGTCGAGGTTTTTTCGTGGTCCGTATAAAGTAAATCTAGTGCAATTTACAACAAATAAGTCGAAGTCCTTGGATTGTTTTGACACCTTTGATCTGGCGACATTTTTCACACCTTATCTGGCTGCGAAAACAATTTCGATAACACAGCCGTGTGTTCAAACAGCCTTTGTTTGCGATAAAATGTGTGATAAAATGCTTTAATCGTAACAATATAATTGCCGTAGTGGTATTTGAAAGTAAACAGTAAGAACTACTTTCATTTGAAAACATCCTTGACCCGGTGTCGCGTGAGAATAACACGCGTAATATTTACAATAAGCTGGTTTAGTTATCGCCCTGTCGTATTCATACGCCTTTTGTAACTCTTTTGAATATGTCAACGGGTAGTCCAAATAATTAGCCGTGAAAAACGTTATTTAACATGCTATATTTATCATTGTAAAATGTAAATATCAGATTAATGTTGGAAAAACATGAAATAGGTTTCGTTATAGATCTTATAATTAGGACTAGTCACGGGTCGAAATTTTGTCATGGAATTGAGAGCGATTCATCAGTCGAAGTCCCGATGTGTCGAAGTTTTTACGCAAGTCCGTTCAACTTCGACTTACCGAAGTTCTACTGTATGTTAAAAGTATACAATTATGTAATATATATTTATGTGTATTTGTTGTTTTTGTGAAATCAAAAAAAGCAATGATGCAGTTATTAAGTCATGTGATAAAAAGAAACAGAAATTTGTTATGATTTCAATTAAACTAGCAAGAGGGATAGCTTAATAATGTCATGAATTCCTTCAATGAATATTATTTATCAAAAGACAATACAATGTTGTTAAAACTAAACAGAATTGTTCCTAGCTTTCAAGTAAATTTTCACGCCTATGTGGTACTCCTGTTGACTCTCTCGTGTAATTGTCTATGGATTGCCTTCATACTTATACATGACAAGACCTTTAAGTTAACCAGACTAACATTGACAAACTCGCAAATAACCATACATGACCGTTATTGGCCGTTCATGTGAAGTTCACAAAACTAAGAAGTGTATAGAGTCTACTTTGCTAGAAGGTTTAATCCCCACCGTTTATACACACACATTTAGCCAAAGTGAACTCAAATAGTGACGATCCTTTAAACTCGTGTCGTGCAATTAATATAAACATAATAAATCAAATATTTGACGAAACTATATAAACGTAATACGGTAACATTATTTATAGTTTACTTAACCCGTTTTTTATCAATCCGTTTCATTACATTACGCCTAGTCCAGCTAATTAGACTAGTCAAAGAGACATTGAGGTAATATTGGACGGGCGCTGTGTTTTTCCAACGGTTTGACAGTACACAGTGATAGGGCGATTACCTCAACTTGTCCGCGCAACGTCAAAATATCATCCTTCTGACCGAGACACCGTATATTTCTGGACAAAATATTAATGGCGGGATAAACGAATTCCAGGTAATAGCTTACAAAATATCTTACTGCTGGACATTGCAAGATTATTCCAATTGTTTAAGTATTCCATAGAATTTTTGAGACAATTTATTGTTAATCTAGCACAATACAATTCACAAAAAACACATACTTCAAAGAAATAGTGGTTACAAAAGATCGTGTGTACCTCAACATGACTCGTACTTGTCACAAAAACATGTGTTATAACGACGATGTCTTTGTTCTATGACCTAACGAGCTCGTATATTTATTATAGTTAACCCTAAGTTCAAGTTCCATACAAAATTGTGTGTTTCTATCGTAAATTTCAGCGAATATTTGTTGAAAAAAGGCCTACTGACCCGAATATTGGTGCACTGTACAACACTGAATTCAAACACCGCATTCTTTTTCCGTTAGACCGATAAATACTGGCACCGTCTTCTTTTGAATTATAAAAAATCTTCTTACAAATATGTTTTATAATAACTTTTATTTGATGAAAGTTTGATGAAAGATTGTTTACTTGCTGTTATGTTATGTTGCTGTTATCATACGTTTTGCTGTTATCATACGTTATGTTATGGAAAATTTCTGAAGGTGATCTGTGTTAATACTACCAGTTACATAAGTGCAATGGTATCTATATATAGACAAGGATGTCTTTTCCTTTTCGAACTTATTCAAACTGATAAACCCCAGATTGAAGTTCTTGGCAGACTATACCATCAAGCAACATCGAGAAACAAAGGGAATGAACTATTTGTTAATGGGAATTTCTTATTGCATACTAATTTGATAAAGTTGCAAAAGTCATAACACAAACTTTCATGGTGTAGTTTTTGCAGGAACCCGGGCAATATTTCCATAATCTTTTCAGTCATGGTCTCCAATATGCTTTTTTAAACAATCTTTTGCGAAAGTTTGACTTCATATTCTTTTGCTTATGTGGTGTGTTACGCATATCGTCCTGAAATACAGGGAGGCGCTGATCCATTGGCGTACTGCTGATATCAGAAGACTTAGTAGGCGCTCTCCAGTTGCTGCAGTATCTGCAGCTTAGCTAATTTCGCACGTTGCTTTGGCTTGTTCACACATACGTTTGAACGTCTTCTTTTTCTGAAAGCAAACATTTATATCAAAAATCAACGGTGCTTAAAAGACAGACAAATGCGGTGATTTTAAGGAGGAATAATGCGGTGCCTAATCTTATGATTGACAAAGTTGTGCGGTGCCTTAAAATACACAAGTGGAAACATAAAAATCATACCAAATATACAAATTATTTATTTATGTATTGTAACTTGTTCATACGACAATAATGTACATATTTATATTGTATTTTGACCAGTTATATGAACTGAACGGACTAGAAATACGTTATATTTCGTAATCAAAGCAATATTTCTTTCATTATGCCCTAAATGTTTTCACTATCCTGACTTAATTAATGAAGCATTTTGCATGTAGTAAAGATAAATAAGTTTGAAATTTAATGGCATATTCGATGAAAAAGAAAAAATGATGATTTTACCTTGTTTTGAGCAAATTATCTGCTGTTTTCGTCTCGGTTACTGGCTTGCTATCCATTTTGAACCACAGAAATATACGGTGTCTTGGACAGAAGTAAGATGTTTTGACGTTGCGCGGAAAAGTTGTGGTAATCGCCCTATCACCGTGCAGTAAGAAAAAAAGTCAAACCGTTCACGCCGAATTAATTGGGCTAACTTACGCCATGCCCATAATAGGATATTGACAGTCGTTGAACTTTAGATCGACAATGCAAATATGTGACCATTGATACCCAAACGGACGATAACATCTTACTGAATAGGTAGAAAAGTCTTTCATGTGAAATTTGCGGATAACAAGGTGTTAGATCGATAGTAGGTAATGATGAAGTCTTTCAGGATTTACTATCAGAGAAAGAAAGTTACTGATGGTAAACACACAACAGCTCCTGAATGACAAAAATGTACACTTTTAAACTTTTTGTCTGGTTCAGCTGTGCTTTTGATTTTGTAGCCCAACATATTGTGGGTATACACTGCTGTCGACAGACATACAACTTATATCATGTAATATCAGGTTGGTCTTGCAGTCGTACTATAGAGACTGGTCATTTTTTGTGTCGCTTCTATGGAGAAATGGCGACATATAGGGATCACTTCTCCGTCGTCTGCCCGTCCGTAACAAAACTAGTCCGGACTACTCATAACTACTGGAATTATCAGTACCAAGTCTAGTTGTGCATATAGGCAGCATTTTCCGGTTCAATGATTTTTGGGGATTTATGACCCTTTAATAATTTTTATTTCTAAAGTTTGTCCGGAATACCCCTGTTATACCAATAATGCAATTTCAATGAAACTTTACAGGTACATGTATATTGTAAGATTTTTTCCGTTTAAATTATTTTTGACCGAGTTATGGCCCTTGAATAAAAAAGGTGTTTTTTTTTTGTTTGTTGCCAGATCATAATAGCTTGTCCGGACTGCTTCTCTAAAATTACAAGTGCAATTTCATCCAAACTTTACAGGAATGATTCATACAAGTCTAGTTGTGCATATCGTCGGTTTTTATATTTCAATGAATTTTGTCGGAGTTATAGCCCTTTAATTATTTTATCTTTTACAATTTGTCCGTACTACTCCTCGATCTTATACCACTAATGCCATTCAATGAAACTTTAAGGGATTGTTTCGTAGGTCAAGTACTTGTGCATAAAACAGAAGTTTTTCGCTTAATGATTTTAGCTGAGTTATTGCCCTTGAATAAAAAAGTTTTTTTTTTGTTGTGTTGCCAGCTACACAGAAGTTTGTCTGGACTACTCCTCAGAAACTACTGGTGCAATTTCACCACAGCATTAGGGGAATGAGCAATTAATCATGTCTACTTTTGCATCTCATCAACATTTTTCAGTTAATAGATTTTTTCAGAGTTTTGGCCCTTTCATGATTTTAATTTTGAAATGTGTCCCGACCACTCCTGTTATACAACTTGCCTTTTTGCATACAAAACATTGAGCCTAGAATCTGTTAACTGGTAAATAACATGCAAAGAAAATGAGCCACACTGTGCTATAATCGACCAATCTACAACCATTAAAATTTGTCCTGAATTTATTGCGCAATATTAATGTTATCAAATGGTATTGAACTTTATTAATTTCTCACCATAAGAGAATCGACCATTCCGTTAGGTATAGCTTTACAGCTATATTGACCATTTTAATAGTTTCACTTAATGATTTTACTGTATAGATATTGTGCACAATGTCAAAATACACAGTAAAGCAAATATTTGAAAATCTCGATGATGATTGGATGAAAAGCACAGAAGGGACGGAGTGAGCCATAAGTCGGTTATAGTTCACATATTAACGCTCCGTATATTATTCTAATATATGCATTTAACATATATATATAAATTAGCTTAGTCATAATAGTCATAGAATAATCTCCCCTTGATTAGCAAGAAGAAACCCGTTTACTATGAGATTGTTTTACGATAATTTGACCATTATTGGCAAGACCAAATGTGCCGAATGCCGAAAGAAAATCATAAAACCTGGACAAATTTCCATCCAGCTATATATAGATGGGTTATTCCAAAATTGTTTAGCTGGTTTCCCAATCATTATACACAAAATATCTGATTACTTTCTAACTTATAACTCATTAAATATAAAAGCAAGTGCTTTCATATAAATCAGTTGCATATTGTTAGATTTAATTGGAGCGATTAAAACACACTGTGCGAATGTTTAGGCATACTTTCTGTTTGATATTTTGAAATGGAAAGTAGGAACCCATTATGAGGCGTTTTATAGACAAAATGGACACGTAAGCAGACAAAATAAAACTGTAAGTGCGTTTCATTTTTATGTAAAACATTATTAGTAATAAGTAATTTTGAAAATCAAGTTCCCGTGCAGATAAGTATGTTATCAAAATGGCAACGCATTCATGCAACTTTAGTTGATTTAACACATACGAGTGAACTGATCTGTGATCTAAATTATATACCAGACTTGCCTACCTGTTCCATCATATTGTACCGATTGTAGCCCTTTTTTATACAAATATGTGATTTACATATCAGTAATGTGACACATGTTAAAAATAGACGACAATAGACGTTCTACTGCGAATGAAAACTTATTATTTTACCTTCAGTTTTATTTTCTAACATTGGGTAAAATCAAATATAAAAACGTTTAACATCATCCCATTCATTTGCCACTAGGATTTTATTTCATATTTTGTTTATTCTGTCTATTATTTTCACGTTTGAAACTTGAGTAACGAGAGTCAGAATAAGGTGATCTCAAATGTATAATAACATAAAAACAGCCGAACGTACATATGCATTGTAAAAAGCGTCATTTATTAAAAGATATTGTCAATTTAAATTTAAAGTTGTAGTAGTAATATGTATTTACGTAATAGTTATAGTATATGAAACGAGTTAGTTACGAGGGTATAACACTGGCTGGGGCGACATCAAGGGTGTTCTGCTGCTAAAAAATGGCGAGGCCGTTAGGCCGAGACATTTTTTTTGCTCAGAAAAATCCCGAGATGTCGTCGCCCCAGCCAGTGTTTATCCCCGTAACTAACGAGTTTTCATATACTATAACTGTTTTATCGCAATGGCATAATGTTTTCTTTTTTTTATATAGAAACAAAAATAAATAAATTAATCGTTAGCTACATTACAGTTATTTATCATAAGGCAGTTTTTCAAGTTGTTTTCGCTGCACCGCAAAAAAAAAATATACAAAAGACATCCAATATAAGAGGCGGATTGTATACTGTTACCAAGATTGATTTAAGATTAAAGGGCTTTTTTTCATTTCATTAATTATCTTTGTTTATATTTTTTTCATTGTATTTATATATTTATATATTTTATTTTATTTTATTGATTTCATTTTTATTATCTTATGGGGTTTTTTTGCTACTGGGGAATGGTCGTTACCACATGCCCCATTGGAGCCTCTATGAAAAAACTGTATGATATATACAAGGTGCGAAAAAAAACTCGACCGATATATAACAGTACAGTTTTTTTTCCTATATGAATAAATGAAAAAACTGTACTGTTTATATATCAATACAGTTTTGAAATGCTCATTGAAGTGTACTGAGTATAATGGGTTGGAAAGAACAAAGGAAAAGCTCACAGCCATGCGATAATTCCAAGATAACAGTTATATGTCAGATAGCTATATCGATTATCAAACAAAAAGTGCTTTACACCATAATTATATAGAGAACCATAGACGCTGGATGGCAAAATTTTATTTTGATCTACTACCCGTTGTGACCGACTTTCCGCCGTGAATTTTATAAACTTATTAATAGCTCATACAAATTACGTAATTTACATACGAGCCGTACATAGTAGATATATCTTTTTTTAAAAAGACGTTTTGGCGGTAGATTTTTATTGGTTTGATTGCTCCGCGCCCACAGGCGCGGAGCTATTTGTGTTTACTATTTTTTTTGTCCATGGGCCCGGATTTGAGCAATAAATCCTTTCGATTAACAGCTAAAAGTAAATCCGCATTCAAGAACTCCTTTCGATTTCTATATTGGTTTCCCCGTCGATGATTCGCAGCATATTAATGAATGAGAACCGGAAAGCAGTTCTGCTGTTACATTAATTCGAAAGCTATAAATAGCTATAAATGTTATACATTTGTTATTTCCCTTTTTTAGTAGAACATGCAATTATAATTTGTTACATTTTGAAATACATTTACACACAGCATATCAAGTTATACTATTAGTGATTGAATTTGTCAATATAAGGAAGATTTCAGGCAAAAGATTTTAACAATTTTGCTTTTGATAATTTTTTTTTAAATTTTTATATTTATGAAAATTAAATGTTTAATAATAACATGTTGATATATTGGTTGTTTTGAAATAATTAAACTTTATAGTATATTATGTTACATTTCATTAGCGTCATTGATACAGCATACCACTTTGTGATAATGGTACGAATGGTGACATGTTCGTGTGGTCCGTACTCGACAGCGAAAGCTGCATTTTGTAGCCTTACGAGCGGATGGACCCTCCTTAAGGTGATTCGCTTTGTCAGTCAAGGTTGTATACACAAAGTTTGAGCAAAGTGAGAGTAGGCCAAAATTCATATATCAACAAAGCTCACATTGCTATATGATGAGCTATTTGCAAGTGCACTTCCAATTCTATGTTTTAAAGACTATTTTAAACAAAAAAATAAAAATGATAACAATAAGAAATTTACCTTGAATGGGCTACATTTCTGAAGACCAAAAACATTCTGTTGCAAATCTTTATGCACATTTCATGAATGGCAAAATCCAGTTTAAAGTCTATTTAAGTGCAAACAAATGGTACTTTTTGCAGAAAATACAAGCAAAAACTTTTAAAAACATAAATCTTAGGAAAGTAGTTTATCTGACCGCCTCCATGGCATGTGTAAAAAAGTAGTACCATGAAAATAAACATCATTTACCTATTTCTTGTGTACATGACAAACAGACACACTTCACTGTTACACATAAAAAGGTTAGATTTTAAAGTTTGATTGTGTTTTTATTTTAATTGTAGTTCAATAAGGCTATAAATGATGATTGTTTTTCTTGCACTACTTTTTTACAAAAAATAATGGAGGCCATGTGCTTAGAAGGACATGAGATACTGATTTATTTGGAGTTAATTTTTGAAAGATTTTTGTATTTGCTGCAAAAAAAAAAGCTTTTGTTGGCACTAAAACAGACTTTTAAAAGGATTTTGCAATACATGAAATGTGCATAAAACTTTGCAACAGAATGTTTTTGGCCTTCAGAAATGTAGCACATTCAAGGTAAATGTTCTTATTGTTATCATTGTTATTTTTGTTTATAATTGTCCTTAAAATATAAACCTGGAAGTGTATTTTCAAATGGTTCATCATTTTACAATAAGAGCTTTGTTGTTATATGAATTTTGGCCTACTTTCACTTTGGACAGACTTTAGTTAAAACAAACATGACTGACAAAGCGGAATCACCTTAAGCATATGCTATAGATAGATATCATGACAACAACAGAAACATTGATCTGCAGTTTGAACATGAAGTGTTATGTTTTTTTAGCTCGGCTATACGAAGTATATGGAGAGCTGTCCTACTCGCCCCGGCGTCGGCGTCGGCGTCCAGATTTCAGATTAAAGTTTTGGTGCAGTAAAATATTTTTCACTATAACTTTGTCATTTCTTAAGGTATCAACTTCAAACTTCAAATATATATTCCTTATCATCAACCACATCTTATGTGACAAGGTTCATAACTCTAGCATCAATATTTTCAGATTTATCTCCCCTTGAACTTAGAATTTTCCTTAAAAAATAATATTTTTTACTGTAACTTCTTTATTTCTTAAGGGATCACCCTCATACTTCAAATGAATGTATCTTATTATCATCCCCATCTTATGTGACAAGGTTCATAACTCAAGCACAAATAATTTCAGATTTATTTCCCCTTGAACTTAGAATTTTCCTTAAAAAATATTATTTTTTACTGTTACATATTTATTTCTAAAGGGATCAACTTCATACTTCAAATATATGTACCTTACCATCATCCATATCTTATGTGACAAGGTTCATAACTGTAGCACCAATATTGCAAGAATTATCTCCCCATAAACTTAGATTATTTTACTAGAAAAATGTTATTTTTTACTATAACTTTTTTATTTTTAAAGGTATCTACTTCAAACTCCAAATACTTATTCCTTATCATCAATTACATTTTATGTGACAATGTTCATAACTCTTGAAGCAATTTTCACAGATTTATCTCTCTTTGAACTTAGGATTTTCTTTAAGAAATATTATAACTTCTTTACTTTTTAAGGTATCTACTTCAAACTTTAAATATATATTTCTTATCATTACACACATGTTGTGTGACAAGGTTCATAACTCTAGCGTGACTATTTATAGAATTATTTCCCTTGATCTTGGAATTTATGTTAACAAATGTTATTGTTTTACTATAACTTAATACATTATACATATTAATACATAATTGATTTTTCTTTCATAGTTTTGTCCTCCTTACTGCGTCCAGTATTTTATTAGTCGAGCTTGGCTGTCTCCTGTGACAGCTCTTGTTATGAATGGTTTTAAAATGGCAACGCATTCATGCAACTTTAGTTGATTTAACACATACGAGTGAACTGATCTGTGATCTAAATTATACCAGACTTGCCTACCTGTTCCATCAATATTGTACCGATTGTAGCCCTTTTTTATACAAATATGTGATTTACATATCAGTAATGTGACACATGTTAAAATAGACGACAATAGACGTTCTACTGCGAATGAAAACTTATTATTTTACCTTCAGTTTTATTTTCTAACATTGGGTAAAATCAAATATAAAAACGTTTAACATCATCCCCATTCATTTGCCACTAGGATTTTATTTCATATTTTGTTTATTCTGTCTATTATTGTCACGTTTGAAACTTGAGTAACGAGAGTCAGAATAAGGTGATCTCAAATGTATAACATAAAAACAGCCGAACGTACATATGCATTGTAAAAGCGTCATTTATTAAAAGATATTGTCAATTTAAATTTAAAGTTGTAGTAATATGTATTTTACGTAATAGTTATAGTATATGAAACGAGTTAGTTACGAGGGTATAACACTGGCTGGGGCGACATCAAGGGGTGTTTCTGCTAAAAAATGGCGAGGCCGTTAGGCCGAGACATTTTTTTGCAGAAAAATCCCGAGATGTCGCCCCAGCCAGTGTTATACCCCCGTAACTAACGAGTTTCATATACTATAACTGTTTTATCGCAATGGCATAAT